AGTGAAAATACCAATGCGAACCAAGCAGAAATGATTATAATCGTATGTATTGATACTATTTTAAGAATGATCATTAATTCAAAAATTGGCGAAGATGGATATTTTGGCCTTTCAAGATTGTAAGCATTGTTTACTTGGTCATTATGTTTTGGTCAAAACTCGTGAATTTTGAAATATTCGAGTATGAAATCAGATGTATTTACATGTTATACCCATTACAAAAGGCCATACATGATATATCAGCGATCGGACAATTGTTTTGCTATTTATGAAGAATCAAATACATGATAAATATGCTAATGTGGTTACTATCATTAATAATTATATATCTGACTTGTGCGAGAAAATACCACACTTATTTCATTTGATTTGATGTCCTTTGTTTCTTTGCTTCTGATATATCAAATTTGAATTTCTTAAAAAATTGGCTAAGGTTGGTAAATTTGCAATATTGTACCATATGATGCTCTGTTTTGCCTGTCATAAATATGAAATAAAACTCATATCCACTTGTTAAAGCTTGTTTTTAGCTACAGACAGGGGCTAATTCAGCTGGTGAGCTAAGGGAGTTTGCAATAACCCCCTCGCCCCTTCGAGATTTAGTATGCTTCCTTTTATTTGTGTCTCCTTTGTCATGGTTTCTTGGCGAGCTCCCTTGCTGAGTGCCCAACACCCCTCCCTGGAAATAATGTAATCTTCACACAGTGCTTTACTGCATGTAACATCGAGTACAACAAATCTGCAACATTTCTTTTGATTTCATGTATTGTCATCTGATCTTCTAGTATAAAACAGGTGGGGAAGGGGGCTATAGCTCCCCAATATATTGCTCAGAAAACAAATTTTGAAATAGTATTAACGTTTTTTTGATGGAATCCGCTAATTTTTCAAATGCTATCCGAACTCGAATGCTCCTCAGTCCCTGATAATTATGCTTTATGTTTTATCAAGCGCCACAAATACGCGCATCTACTCTTAGACGTTTGTTACAAACTAGGTCTTTTAGCTATGTTATTGCAGATCGATAATTTCTTTTTAATTTGTTTTTTGTATTGCCGTTGTTGCATACTTTATTACATTTTCAATTTCTTTATTACGCTCGCAAATAACGATGGAACCGAAAATATAGAGAAATAAAGGAATGCACGATAACTTTTCGCCGTCGTGTAACAAATGAATGAGCGGGTAGCCTGTTGTGAGCCTACAAGTAACAATGCGACAATACAGCTGCTCGCGCATGGTCATGCAAAATGGCCCCTTTGAGACGCTCCAACAACGCTTTTGACAAGAGAGTTTAACATGTTTAGCCATGTTTAACGATCATGGACATTTCAATTAAATGCATTTATCCTGTATAAATGTCGGCAAATGGAATAGAAAGGCAAAATATTTAGMAAAGAGACCGACAAGATATCGTGGCGATGGATTAACACTTGTAACTGCATCAACAATAGCTTCAATCACCAGATGAACGTTAGGGCTTGCAGCTTTCGTTAARGACGGTCGTCTGTCTTTACTTCSCACTGAAAGTAAAGAATAGGATGCAGAATTAATATCCTGTTAATGTCTTTCCTTYTTTGATTGTGACCATTTCGAACAGGAGCAAACGAAAAAAATATAAATGARTGAAGAAAAGGAAAGAAGGACCTACCGAAGAAGAAAGAGGGAGAAGATAAGGAAGGAAGCTAAGCAAGGAATGTAAGGAAGGAAAGTTAATAAAGAAACAAAGCTAACTAAAGGAAAGAAGGGAACTGAAGAAAGAAGGAGCCTAAGCAAGAAAGAAGGTAAGTAAGGAAGGATCAGGAAGATACAAAAGAAACAAAAGAAACCAAAGGGAGAGAATTAATAAAAAATGAATTAATGGATCGGTCTCCGAGTCTCCCACATATTGCCTGTTATCTCTATCCACAAAAAGAAAGAACGAAAGAAACGACTGAATGCATGAAAGAATAAATCATTTGCYATCACCCGTTCTACATAACTTTGTTATATTATTCAAATATCGATAATCTCTAAACCTATGTACTAAAAACTTTCCAAATCATATGAAGGTAATTAACTCTGGATKAACGATTATCGGTCTTCAAATAACATTACCRGATCCAGACTTACATTGAGAATAGAGTTCTCGATATTCTGTTTTCATCTCATCATCTACGCTATCCCACAAACGATCTATCTTATCAAGCATTCCATCCAGTAATGCGGTTTTAAAAACCTGTGGTTCAATAATGCACACTTTGACTTTCCATCTTTTCATCTCACGGCGCAAAGTGTCAGAGAATGCTTCCACACCATATTTGGTAATATTGTAGGGTGCCAGTAAGGACCATGACACAAAACCTGGTGGAAATTGAAACGAAGCGAACTTAGGTCAGTTGTGACCATCTAACATTTTGAGATGTTCCGTTAAAAAAGCACAAGTCTAAATTTTTGTTTTGTTTAGATACACTTTGAAGTGTTCATTGAAAATGGGTGTCACCTGTGTGTTTCCCTTTTCACTACGCCCTCGTTTCCGTTATCAATGCTTATTTCCCTCGTTTACATAACAAAACTGAGTGATATAGACTAAATTATTTCTTGTAACAGGACTTCCTCATCCAAAAAATGACAGAGGAGCGAGGAGAGTCTGGGTACTAAAATAAGTCAGTCTTCAAAGAAAAGGGAACTTTTAATAGATTTTGTCGACTTTCAGCCTGGCAAAAGTAAGAAACAACTTCGTATTGCAGCTTGCTGACATACCTAAAATGCTTGAAACGTTAACAATCCGTCCTTCAGCCTTCTTCACCAATGGYAGAAATGTTTTAGTCACTTCTATCAACCCCCAGAGGTTCACATCGGCCATTTTTCTGAAGGCGTCCATTTTGTACCATTCTAATGGACCAACGGACAGTAATATTCCGGCATTGTTYACAAGTGCCCATAGACCTTAAAAGCAAACGATTCATTTTGTCTACTAGAAAAACTAAAAATACAATAAATGATTGGTAATGATTGAGCGCAGTCAAGGTACTATACCCCAAACGTGATATTAAGGGTGTGCCTCTGGGACCTCAAAACCACACCCCAGACCTAACATTTCTAATACCTTGCTCGAGACCACATACAAGTCTAGCAGAAACAGGGGAGTAGACCCCCGGGAGCCGGGATTGAAGTGTATTTCCCATGGCTTACGTTCAACCATCAAATCATTCTTCTTCGATAGAAAATGAACTAAGAGAACCCAGCCCATACACTTGGATCTGCACACTTGATGAGACCCGTTCAATTCACTGTTTTTAAACTTTGAGTTTTTTTGGAAACGAAACGCATTTACCAGATCAGATGAAGCGTGGTCGCATAGTCAATACACTAAAATTTCATATGGCGGTTTTAAAGGAAAGTTTACAGTTGATCTTTGTGGACGAAAAAGATTTGTTTTTTGTAAGAAGCAGGAAGTATAAGTGGTCGGCGACAGTGCTACTATTTCTCTAATTCGGAGTAGATTCTATTTCTACTTCTACCTTTCTTGATTCTCAATTCTTGTCGACAGCTCTCCTTCTCAAAACTAGACGCTCTTAGAAATTGAGAAAGACAGGATATTACATGGGTGCGCGTCATATCAAACTTATTGCCATAAATCGGGTGACATTTGCTTAGATTTCATTAGATATTTTGATATGTTATAAACTTGAAGAGGCGGAAAAGAGCACAAATACGGCATTTTTTAAAGAATATATAGGTTTATCGGTATATAGGAAAGCAAAAAACTTTAAATTTTCCTCACCGAAGCACTGGGATTCTTCAACAATAGATTTTACAGTTTTTTTAAACGAATCGTGTTACGCCGGACTGCCGGAACAACAGGCATAAATCTCTCAAAATTGAAGGAAATGACCTGAAACTTAACAGAAACGTAAAGAAAAACACAATACACAGGTAGAGATGTTTATTTCTGTTACATTTTAAATATTTCTAAAAAGTACACAAATGCCTAGCTTGGGCTACCTGTGATCGACTGGCTATTTTGATGCTCAACTCCAACTCTTCAAAGGCGAAAATACATACTTGGATTTTCAAATTTTCTCACGAAGAATACACATAATGGTCACATATACATTTTATTTCTTAAATTCTATGGTGGGTTTTTCGGATTGTCTTTAATATCATTGCATTTCTTCAAAAAGTCTTGAAATCTGGTCTCTTTTCGTCGAATYTGACACTTCATACGRACTGKCAGGTTACRCTTGAATGATCACGGACTTTTTGTCCCCCTTAAGTTTGATATGTGGGAGAACGAGTGAAAGGTTCTAAACACGATAAGATTATGATGTAATATTCTGTCTATTATATGGCTATATATGAGTGTAAATTATGGCGTAGAATATATAATTTTTACGTCTAATTTACATAGTGAATGCAAGAATGCGCTACTTTCACTTTAATGTACTGTTCAAAATTCTAATTGTTTATTCACACGCTACGATATTCTTTTTTGGCGGCTTTCTGCAACAACGTCAAAACGACAGAAATATCGAGCAAGGTAAAATATCTAGGCTCAGTCTCCAGCCGTCGGGATTTCGTGCGCCCGCGATACTCTCTGACGGCTGGGCGCATGGGGTTCGAAACGTGTCGCGCATGTCCGTGACGTTTTTGTGTAATTAGCATATTATGACGTAACGGAAGTGAATTTTTCAGTGAACGGAAGTGAAATATCTGACAACAGCCGTAAAGGTTTTGCTACAAGGCGGGAAATTATGTGAAATGAAAATTTCGCGAAGTAGCGATATAATGTAATAGTTAGCGCTTTAAAAAAGAGAAAGGAATGGAAATTACCCCAAGTAAAACATGTGCAGGCTTTAATAATCCAAATGGATGTATTATCTGCCAGAAAAACGAGCAAAATACACTAGTGGCGCTGTTTGAAAAATAAGAGATTTGCCTGTGCCAGTATAGGAAGAATAACAAGGACATCTTTTCCAAGAACAATCTCTTTAAGAGCCTTTTGCTGTATTTCTCTAAATTCGTCCAAGCTAAACGACTTCAGAGCCTTCAAACAAGCACTTTCAAAGAGAATCTCAAACGACGAATTGTACGCCATTTTGTTACACTGCTGCCTGCTAATTTATTAATGATCATCTCAAAATATCGGGGGCCACTCGCTGATTGGTCAAGACTGACAATAGCGAACCTCATGCGCCCAGCCGTCAGGGGAGAGAGTATCGCGGGCGCACGAAATCCCGACGGCTGGAGACTGAGCCTATAAAATATCCTGTCCTTATCAATTTTTTTCCAAAATAGCCCGACTACACGCTCTAAGAGCGTCTAGTTCAAAATATGCAAAATTCTTAGATAAAGACTTAAATAAATTCGACGTAAAAGGTCATACAATCAACACCTAAAAGAACACTGAAAAAGAACCTACTTTAAGTATACTTATGGAAGTCTTTTGTACATGTACCAACTTTTTACACAAGTCAGAAGAATCTCCAAAAAGTTATTTTCAGGCCTACTGCTATCCCGAACAATAACTCTCAGTTTTTCTCGCAAAGCGTGGACATCCCAAATCCGCCATGGACAAGTACCATCCGCGCAGGGATTGGTAACAAGACAAAATAGTTTGTTTTTCGAAATAGCATGAGTAGGATTCCTGATGGGGTCCGGGGATAAGTTCTCTTAACTCTTTTTCTCTTGTCATATTTTATTTTCACGCTGAATTTCTTTCTTTCTTTCTTTTTTACATTAAATGCCCACGTATAAAAACCACTGACAAAGAATTAGATTAGCCTGCAGGCTAGAAAATTGCCCATTGT